GGACAAAGTGAGAGAGTGGCATGGACATATATACACTACCAAACGTAAAATAGATAGCTAGTGGGAAGCAGCCGCATAGCACAGGGAGATCAGCTAGGTGGTTTGTGACCACCTAGAGGGGTGGGATAGGGAGGGTGGGAGGGAGGGAGATGCAAGAGGGAAGAGATATGGGAACATATGTATATGTATAACTGATTCACTTTGCTATAAAGCAGAAACTAACACACCATTGTAAAGCAATTATACTCCAATAAACGTGTTAAAAAAAAAATTACCAAGAGAGAGTTTCCCAAACTTATTTGACCATAAGAGGAGGTCCTTTCTAATGGAACCTCCTTTCTAGATCTGGGCTAGTTCCACGTTGGCTTCATGCTCTATCTCTAGCTCTATCCGTTAGGTTTCTATTTCTTAGAAGTTTTTCATTTCCCTCACTCAGTTATTCTGGATTGGACTTCCTGAGACATTTCCAAGGGAGGCTTGACCAGGGCCTGGGAGAAGAAAACCCTCTTCCTGGATGGATCCCCACCTCTGACAGGGAACCCAGTGCATTAGAAATGGCTACATAAAGCTCTAACTCCACCAAAGCCTTAGCATGCATTTGGTTGTGTTGCCTGGTGTACTTCTGGGCATTGGTGACTCCTGCATGACTCTTCCTACTTCCTACCTCTGGCTCTGTAGTTCCTGTTAACAGAGTGTTTATGGTGATGGCAAGACCAAGAATTTTTTTTTTTTTTTGGCTTTTGAGAGTTTTTTCTTAATTACTAAAGTAACACATGCTTACTACACAAAAATCTAATATTATATATCAGGTAAAAAGAGTATCTCCTGCAATTCCGCAAACCCTCTCTTCCCCCCCAATCCCATGACTGTTACAGTCAACAGTTTTCTCCTCATTTTTAATGATACACAGGACTGGAAGCTCTATAATCTGCTGGGAATTCTTCATTGTGCCCCTTTTGCTTCAGGAAATTCTATTTATCTTTATAAAAGAAAGCTCAAATATCACTTTTGTGAAGGCACCCTGACCCAGCCAAGCCATGCTGGTCTCTCCCTTTACCAGGTGCCCGAAGTAATTTGCACATATTTCAATTACCCGGAGTAATTTGCACATATTTCAATTAAAGAGCTTACAACAATTTCATTGCAATTTTTGAATTAAATGTCTCTCCTACTTCTAAGACTTCAAGGACCAGTCTCATTCCTCTTTGTTACAAGGTATCTGGCAACTGACATGCAATCAGTACACAGTAAATATTTGTTGAGTGAATGAGCGAAGAAGTATATAAATAAAATATTTTTCTAACACACAGACTTAAAGCTGTATAAAAATCAGTCAAGATGCTCACGTTTAAATTTCTCTAAAAAGATGTTTCACACATATCCAACATTTCAACAACCAGGTAGTACTGTTAATTACTTTTCCCGTTTGTTTAGGCCTGAAAACTTAAAATTCTAACTTCATGGAAAATGGTAAAGTTGGAAGAATTTGAGGATGGATGGTGGTTTATTATTCAAGTGCCAAATGAACATTTTGAAGCATAAGATCTTTGGCCATAGGCTTTGTCCACTGACACCAGAACATTCCAGGAAATGACATTTCAAATAAACACTTTCAAGTCCAGTAAACCACAAACACAAAAAAGTATTCAATGGCATTTCACAGCAAATAGCCTTCTGTTGACAGTTACTCAGGAATGACTGGTTATATTTGCAAAGCACAAATATCTCTTCTGTTAGATTAACTGAATATGGTTTTAGCTGACGGCTTGGGCAAAAGAGTGAATCTATAAAAGTAGTGAAAGAAGTGAATAAAGGAGAAGAGACATGAAGGATGAATCTTCGAACAATATTTCTAAATATCAGAAAGTTCCACTGGACCAACACTTCAAATTAACAAGCCCCACTGAGGGACTTTGACATGCATTCTGCATGACATATTGTCCAAGGAATAGCAGCCAGAAGGAATCTCACTTTTCTTGGAAAAAGAGATTGCCATAGAGCTTTCATATTTTACCAACTAAACAGTTTGGGGTCAATGTAATTAAGTAATATAATTATGAACCCATTTCTTGGCCTCTAGCCCAAAGTGCTATTTCTTATTCAAGTATACCGTTAATTTTCATCTAGAAGGCATATGTGACACGTTGGACATAGTTCTTCATATTAAAAGACATACACAATCTACAAACAGAAATCCACAATCTAATTTTAAAATTAAAGAGTAAGACTCAGTGGGTGCAATCATAGGATATGAGGTATAGCACGGATTCTAGGCATTCAACTTAAGCAGGAAGTGGCCAGGAGAAATTCAGACTCTTGAAAATTTAGTATGAAAGTGGAAAATGGTGAAGGGGTCAGTGGATTTCCATCATACAAGAGATGGTGACTTAAATAGTAAAGGGAAAGGATATTTAGGGATACAATAGCAGCTGGCCCTAGAGTTACCTCAGTACAATTAACATATTAAGTTAGGAGGCAAAGCTGGTGCGGGGTTTAAAAAAATATGGTACTGTCAGATCATGCTTATTAAATAATAAAAGTTAAAATTTATTGTGTATCTGGGCTGGGTTAGGCACTGTTTTAAGTATATTATGTGAATAGATTATTTAATTTTCAGAGCTACCTTATGAGATAGACCCACGCACTCTGGCTCCAGGGTGTTTTTTTAACGGAATGCCATGCTGCCTCTTAACACCTACTCAAAAGAAATATTAGCCTTTATTTTAGAGTTGAATTCATGTGTTTACATAGGTGTTCAGAAATCTATAGGAGAGTTAGGTCCTGAATTGAACGAGACTGATTACTAGCTATCAAAGGCAACTGAAGTCAGTATACTTTCAGAGCTGGAGAAAGATACTCAATTCACCTTTGCATGGTGTTTGACATTTATTCATGCAATTGAATTCAACTCAATTAACAGTGATTTAGGGTCCCATGCTGAGTACTAAAGAAGTAAGATTCAAAGCGTAGAGGAGACACAATTTTTATGCCAATCTAGAGCAGATAAAAATACTCTGGAAGCTAACAGTTGAACAGAGGTGAAGAGAACGAAGTCCAGAGAGTTCAAATGACCTGCCCGAGGCCAAAAAAGTAGTTTGTGGCACAGAGGGACCTAAAAATCTAACTGAGGTGGGTCCAGGTCTCTTTTTACACTCCACTCTGCCTCCTGTCAAGCTGGTTGGAACACCTGGGAATAAAGTTAACTTCTAAAATAAATATCTGTGCCCTGTAAAGAGGAAACTGTTGGATATTTGCCTGCCTCGTCTCTAGAACCCACTTCATTCTGAAATGAAGTTAAGGACAGAGAGAACAGATAGCCAAGGGAATATTTTTTTTAAGGTTAGAGGAGGAGAGCATTCACATATGGAGTCTCCCAGATCTCCTCTGAAGGAATGAGTGTTTTTCGATTTTATTTGCTGGGCAATTTATCTCTCTCAAACCTTACCCAATTCTAAAAGCAGACTTGACATTATATCTTTATTGATAACTGTGTGTGTAGGCGCATATGTATGTCTTCAACTATGTTCTAAGGGTCTTAAGAACAGAGGACATACTTTAAACCTCTCTGTATGCCCAACTTTTACAAAATGCTTTCACATAGTAGCTGCTCAGTATGGTAATGATGCTAAAAGTATAAGTATACACAATGTAAGTTTTCCAATTAGTTTGTTTCATTTTTTAAAAAACGACCCTGTATTCAGGTCTCCTAGAAAATTTTTAATAGCTTCTTTTAGTGGGTCAATTTTACGTGCCACCCTTTCCGCCCACAACCTGCCGGAGACATTTGGCAATGTCTGGAGACATTTTTGGTTGTCACAGCTTAGGGGCTGGGGGAGAAAGGTGTTACTGGCATCTAGTAGGTAGATGCCAGGGATGCAGCTAAACATTCTACAATGTACGGGACCCACCTCACAACAAAGAATTATCCGGCCCCAAGTGTCAATAATGCCAAGGTTGAGAGACACCGGCCTCTTCAGAAGTTAAAAACATGCACAACCACCTTCCCATTTCTCCATTTTTAAAACACAAGTAAGACATAAAGCAAAATGATACACTAAATATTTGCCTCGACCAAGACAATGTCAGTAGTCTAGTTAAGATGAACAATTATTTAATGGGCTGACTTAGGATTAGAGGGGTTCATTAAAAGCCAGAGGAAAAGCATGAATTTAAACACATGTATACTTAAGTAAGCAATGGAACACCTTCACCAAAAGGCATGTTCTGATCTTTACTACATCTGAAACCAAGGTTACTCCACAGTTACAATATAAAACGTTCTGCTCATGAGGCATTTTCAAAACCACCACTGGTCTGATTCAGACACGGAAGTCTCATTTCAGGCTGTTTCATTATTTCTAACCTCGCTCAAAATCCACCTTTTGACCAGCACACAAAGAGGAAATGTATGTTTTTTGTTTGTAAATAGGGTCATCAAAATAAACTGTTTTCACAATTAGTCTTTCCTTTTGATGCCTGTCCCATGTCTAGGTTAACCTGGAAGGTCCAATTTTTCATCCTAGATTCCTTATTGTGGCCAAAAGCACCATTCCTTCAGGCCTACTTTGGCTCCTTGACTTCTATCATGGACAGACGACTGCAGTAAAGCTATCCTAACAGCCTGATGATGTCTTTAAAGACAAACAAGGAAAAGGAAGTGGGGGAGCTGCTGAGTTTTCTTTCCACTTGGTTATGGTTTCCTTACATAATCTCTAGCTGATGTGGTTGCATTTGCTACAGTTTTATTTGCTTGTTCATTTTCCCCCGTGGCTGATCATATTTGATCCTTTGGCTGTCTGGTGGACACTTGAATAAAAATTTCTTTCTTTAAGGGGACAAATTAGTTTTTTTCTGGGAATCAACTGACAAAAAACATACAGACCTCAGGAGGATCTTTAAACATGGCATAATAACTAATCTGTTGAGCATTCTGTGTATTGAGTTAAACATGTCACCACTGACACTCTCACACGTTGGTTAACGACTTACTAAATACTCACCAAGATCTTTAATAAGCGAGAGTGCTTCCCATGATATAAAGGCTCCTCCACCATCATCCATCGCACCCTGCCCAACATCCCAGCTGTCCAGATGTCCACTGACCAGTACAACCTAGAATAATAAAAAGAGAAAAAAAAATAAAACTGAGCAGAAATGACATCAAAGAAGAAGCAGTCATAGGCATTCCAAATATATAAATGAAACTTTTATATTTTCTATTTTTACTTTTTAAAATATGTGTGTCATTACTAGTGGAAAACTTGGTATAGCGGTGTAAGGTCATCTTAATAGTAATAAAACTTCTCACCTTGTACTTCTCTTTATTAATTGAATTTTGAATACTAAAGAAAAATGGTTTATTACTGACAGATGTTTGACAACTTTATTATATGGCTTAAAACCTAAATGACATAAAAATGGAGCTCAAAACTTCAACCATATTCTCAACTGTCCCAAATTCTAGCAGACAAATAATAAACATGTGTTGAATTGAATTCAAATGAAAAAGTGAGAATAATTTATTTATTTTTAATTATTGTGCTTTGTGCATTATGAATCACTCTGGTGTTGAATAAATAAGTATGCTGGAGTTACAAACTAGAGTCTAATTAAACAGAAGAACCTTTAAGAAATATCTCAATTTATGTGTTAAATAAATCTGTTGATTATATTATAAATTTTACATCACCATAGGTTTAAATTTTTTTCAAGAATCATTAGTAATTCTCTCCAGGAAAATATAAAGAATATTTCAGTGAAACTAAATTTTATGGACATATTTTATTTTATTTATTTATTTTTTGTTTTGTTTTGTTTTAATTTTTATTTTTTTAACATCTTTATTGGAGTATAATTGCTTTACATTGTTGTGTTAGTTGCTGCTGTATAACAAAGTGAATCAGCTATATGTGTACATATAGCCCCACATCCCCTCCCTCTTGCGTCTCCCTCCCACCCTCCCTATCCCACCCGTCTAGGTGGTCACAAAGCACCGAGCTGGTCTCCCTGTGCTATGCGGCTGCTTCCCACTAGCCATCTATTTGACATTTGGTAGTGTATCTATATCAATGCCACTCTCTCACTTCGTCTCAGCTTACCCTTTTCCCCTCCCCATGTATGGACATATTTTAAACAAGTTAAAAACCAAGTAAAATGACGCTAGGTTAATAGGATATCCACATGGCAAGTATGTATCTTGATCTCTAGATCATGTAGTATATGAATGTCAAGTCAGATGAATTACAAATTTAAATAAAGATATTAGAGGAAAGCATAGAGCAGCTTTGTCAACTTAGAGTACGCAAAGATTTCTTAAACTGGACAAAAAAGTGCAAACCATAAAAGAAAAAATAATAAACTGGACTTTAAAAATATTAGGAATATTTGTTCATCAAAAGACTCCATTACAGGAATGAAAAGGCAATCCACAGAGGAGAAAATATTTACCACACATATTTCAACAGAGGTCCCATATCCAGATTATATAAAGAACTTCCATGAAACAGTAACAAAAAGAGAGTCAAATGATAGAAAAATGGGCAAAAAACTTGAACAAACAATTCACAAAAAAAGGATATATCAATACAAATTACCAATAATCATATTAAAAGTTGCTCAGGTTCATTATCATCAAGGAAATATAAATTAAACCACATTCACTACATATCCACTGGAATAGCTAAAATGAAAAAGACAGAAAGTATTGGTGAGGAGGTGGAGCAACTGGAACTCTCATACATCAAGTGTGAGTATAAATACTTACAACCACTCTGGAAGACTGGCTTATCTACTAAATCTGAACATACACACACCCTAGGACCCAGCAATTCCACTCCCAGCTACCCTCCAACAGGAAGGGATGCATATGAATGCTTTCACCAGAAGGGATGTACTAGAATGTTCAGAGAGTATTCATAATAACGCCCATCTCCTCCGCAAAGGAAACTACTCAAATGCCTGTCAACAGCAGAATGAATAGTGTGTTGTATTGACCAATGGAACGCTGCGCGGCAGTGTGAATGAACAGATACAATCAATACACAATAAATACACGAATCTCATAAACATAAAGAAAAATGAAAGAAATAATACATCGTGTATAATCCCATTTATGTAAGATAGAAAAACAAGCAAAACAGGAGAGTGGTTACCCGTGGTAAGGAGGGGTAGTGACAGGACGAGGACACGATTCGAGCTGCTGGGTGCTGGTCATGTTCTGTTTCCTGACCAGGTGCTGGTCACGTTCTTTTTTCTGGGTACTGGTTACACAGGTGCACTCAGTTGGTAAAAGTTCATCTTGTTATACACTTAGGATTTGTGCATGTTCTCTGAGAATATTACACTTCCATAAAAAAGCTTAAAAAAACCAAGCTCAACAGATTGATTCTACATACAGCATACAGTAAATAAATAAACCGAAGTTGAACAAATCTTCTTGATGATTAACAGGAAAATGCCCCAGGACTTCGGGAAAGTAGGATTTTGGGTTTAAAATATCAGGGTGACCCCTTGCACTGCCTCGTTCCCTGAGCAGCTGCAGGATCTCCCACTGACTCTGTATATACAGGCAGACCCAGCTTACTACGACTTCATTGTAGTCATAAACAAGTACAATGCCCCAGACTAACAAATGGCCATGTAATGAACCCAAATGGATTGTTTCTAAGGAAAAAAAAACAAAAGAAAAAAATGTGTTGCAATAGCAGGAAATTCTGATTCAAAAAGTGGTGTAATCCCATGTGGGATGAACAAGCCAATTAGTCAACATTCTCACCACCCTCAGGACCATTTTCCCAATGAAGTTAAAGTTCCAATGGATAAAAAGTGTCAAAATCTGTTTTAATCAACTTTTTCTCAGATAACACATGAGTAATTAAATCAAGGCAGCTATTGTTTTAACCTTCAGGCTTCCTTCAGAATAACTGAGGTTGTCTTACAATTATATTTCTTTATGTTTTCTGAAATATCTCTGTTCTCTAATCCAGAATTATTCCTTAAACTAACAGTGAAAAGATGGAAATGGTTTGATGATAGGAAACTAAATGATATCCCATAGGATGAGGTCTTTGGCATAGTGATATGGAAGAGAGTTTGTTTTACTTTTTTTTTTTTTTTTACAAAACCAGAATATATTGGGGGTTGCCATGGGATAGTAGTAATTTTAATATAAACTGATTTAAAGACTAGGTGATGACAAGAAGCTACTTCTAATTCAGTAGCATATTTAACGAACTTGAATTTTCCTAATCATAAAAGCTTCAACCTACACCTCGAAAATTGTAGTGCAGGAGGTCTCATTCAACAGGGTGTCTGGCTAGCATGCTTTAATGCAGCCTCACAAAGGATAACCCAGAAAAACATAGCAAAGGGTCAGGCAGAGATGAACATTACTTGTAACATATTTGGATCTGATTTAAGCAAACAAAACAAAAACAGACAACTCAGAGACACAGTAAACTCCAGATTTATGAAAAAGGATCACGTTATAAAAGATAAGGGAATGCACCGGTTCTGCTGCCAGATGTGCAGCCCTTAGAGCAATAACAAGGCCTAGAACCAACAGAGAAGTGGGGTGCCCCCTCATCTACCCTCCTTATGCGCTGCTCCCCGAGGCAGGCAGAGCACTGACCAATCCCCTGCCCTCCAGCTTCCATCTCACCACCATCTCTTCCAAATGCAGTAAAGAGTAAAAATTATTCAAACAACAGCAAGAGCCAGGAGCAGCCACAACAAAACAAATAGGAAGGCAGAAAGGGAACACCAATGCTCTGAAATACAGAGTTTGCTATTTGTGAGGCACACATTAGCCCTGACCACCAAAGGCTTAGGTCTTGGGGGTGGGGGGAACTTCTGCAGTAGGGCAGAGATGCACTGGATGACAGCCTGCGAAGATGAAGAATCAGACTGGCAGCAGCACAGAAACACCTGCAGGCCAGCTGTGGGTCTGAGAGCAAAGATACACTAAATCAAAGGCAGACAGAGAGCAGCCCGAGGACAAGCCCCCGCTTCGTTGTTATTGGGGCATATGGAGATACTGAAGGCAAACAGATTTGCTTGATTAAAAGATAAATAAGAACACAATCGAAATGGGACATATGAAAAATATCACAGAACAAGGGAAAGAGAACAGCATCAGAAGAAGTACATTCTTATGAAAACAAGCTAATACAAGATCCTGGAGAAAATGTCATGCTCTTGGGCATTTATGCATGCATTTATTCAACAGCTTCTACTGAGTTTCTCTTATGTGCCAGAGATACAGAAATGGACAAAACAAGCAAATATTCTGCCTTAATGGAATTTATATTCTGGTGAGGGAGACAGGCAATAAATAAATATAATGTAATGGTAGTTTTAAGTATTATGAAGAAAAACAAGGCAGAGGAAGGGAATAGAGAGGGTAGTGGCAGGGAGAGGAAAAATCAGTCAGCTTCCTCCTAAGGTATAGACAGCCACAGGAGAATTCTGTCCCTACCCTAACAATAAGAGAAATCTGGATAATCTAGAAAATCATAACTTTTTTAGGCCCATCAGAGATCTGAGATTGTAATTCAACCAGAGGAACTGAATTGCAGAGGATAACGTGCTCATCAAAGGAGAGGTGGGACACATGAACTGGCTGCCTTTAGCAGCAACAGGAGGGAGAGGCCTCAGTCATAAAAGCAAGAATGAAGACAACTGAAATGTTAACAAATTCTTAAAGGGTTGAGTGTGTGTTAAGATGAGAGTTTAGAATCCCTGGGAACCTCCCACATAAGGGCTCTAGGTACCTATTTTCTAGATCTTTTCCACAAACTTCCATCATGGGCTCACAGGAAATAAAGAGCAGGGCAGAAGCCCTAAGAGAGCCCACCTCGTGGTGCAGGGATACATATGACTGGGTGCTGTCGGGAGCAGGCAGCAAATACACCTACTTCCAGGACGCTTCTCTCATACGAGGCCGAGGCCATCTCCCCCTGGGGGAGAGGCAGAAAACTGCCCTGCAGGGCAGTACTAGGCAAAGGCTGGCGGCTACAGGAAAAAGGGTAGAAACTGCACTCCCACCCTGCACTGACACCTGTCTCCAGGAGGGCAGGAAACTTGCCCACGCCCAGAATTCTGCACTGATGTAA